GTTCGAAACTCGAGTGTAGCGGCAGTTACTGTGGCTATACTGGAGTTGGGTATCTACAGCTGACGACAGCTAATAAGCTAGAAATACGCGTATACTGCAGTCCTAACGTTTGCCGGTAATACATTGGTTACAAGGTAGACTGCAATGGTCCTTTCTGGCTTACTAGCCGTCATCAGTCAACCATACCCAGACCAAGCAGTGCCCCACACGAGCCTCCAACTCGAACTGGTAAGAGAAATAGAAGGTTTTTTAGACACTCCCAGCTTCTACCTCTTGACTCACTGCGAACACAAAAGAGCGTACTTGATTATCCCATACAAAATGTTGTTAAAAGACGGTGATGCAGGTGAGCAGGGCTTAGAAATTAATTTTCGTGCGCAGAAAGATGTTTCGATGGCATCAGGATGTGGGCTTTCGAGCGATTTCGTATTCCGTGATTTTCAAGAAATATTAACGTCTCAAAGTGCTTTTTAGTGTGCTCCTTATTTTTAATTACAGTTCATGGAAAGCAGGCAAAAATATGCTTTTATAGTCCGCCGGTAATGCATAATTTTGTCTTATAATTTTATATCAAAATGGTATCTTTCGGGTTTAAAGGGGTTTCTAATTGTGGGATTTTTGAAGACGGTGAAATTTTCATTCCTAAGTAGTCTTTGTACTTTTATGGACGCTACTCATATAGTATACACCATGCTGTAAATGCATTGCAAAATTCTACGACCAATTTTTGACGTCCTTCTGCTAGCATATGTAAGTATCTGAATTTCTTCAGACGGAATTTACACAGCATATATTTTGGAAATCCTGAATGCAAGTATAACAGCGCTTCGAGTTCAAAATTATTCGGGAATGAAGAAAATATGTTTGAAACTGACATATACCCTTTCTTCAGGCACACATTTACAAAAAGACAATTTTTAAGTTCATTAGTACAAGAATAAATATTTTATGCCTGTTTTTATGTATAATACAGTAGACTGCCTATCTCATGAAATGGCAATCAAAATTCTGAAATGTGTTTCCGACTCAGACAAATTACTTAAGCAGGGCTGCAATACTGATTAGCTTACAACCTAATCTCCAGAATTTTCAGTAATGCAAGGATGCCGGCTATCTAACTAGCTTCTCTCTGACTATCTACGAAACTTTGCGAAAATTCCCATTGAAAATTTCAGAAGATAAGTTGGCGAACATACTTTTA